CATCCAACCCCAAGAAGGGCTGAGCCCTCCTGCCTGGCCGACCCTGGACCAAGCCAGGATTGGAGGCTTGACCCCGCCTTTGAGTAGGGCAGCAGGGGACCCGCTGCTCCCCGTGGGCATGGCGGCTGGGCCCCTACCTTGAGCCGCGTGCCCTTCGCTCCTGTGGAGTCAGCCCGCTCGCTCCCAGCCAAGTCCACCAGGCTGATTTTGCTCACCTGAAAAGGCAAATGTGTCAACTGCAGAAGATGCCATGAGGCTGCTATGGGGCACCCTTCCTCTCTGGGCACCACCCAAAGGGCCCACCCGCGGAGCCACGGCCAAGCCCCACCCTGGGGGTCTAAAAGTCTGTGGCCCTGCGTTCCCTCTGCACCTCTGTTCGCAGCTCTTCTGACACACCTGAGGTTTGAGGCCACCTCACCTCACAGGCTGCGGGCCCCCCACCCCTGAGCACCAGGGTTGCGGCCACACTGTTTTCTGCACACTCGATGCTCTTCACATGTTTGTGCGTAGACTCCCCCCAGCACCCATGAGGTGGGTCCCTCACTAGCACCCATTTCCACAGACAGGAACTTTGCCTGTGCTGGGGTTTAAACCCGGTTCCAGTGCCCCAGCCACTGCTTGAATGCCTCGTGCCGGGGCAGGGGGCCCCAGTACACTTCCCTGGCCCAGGGCAGGTGGCACCTGCATTCAGAGGAGGCCAAGGCACTCTTGAACATGGCTGCTGAGGGCAACTCGCCCAGATGTCAACAGGCCTAGACGTCAGTGGGACCCTCTCGGTACCCTGAAATCACGCTGACCCGTCCCTGCCCTCCAGGCCCCATTGGGCTGTCATGAGCCTCCAGGAGGGTAGTGCCTGGCCAAGGTGACCCCAGCACCACCAGGTCTAAGTGGCACTATCTTCCCTGACCCTCTGTGGATCCAGGGGTGCTGCCTGAGAGAGCTGGCCCTCCAGGAGGTGGCTGAGGTGCCATGGGAGAAGGCCTGGACGTGGGGGTGGGGGAGAGGCACAGTCAGAGGGAACCCGGTGCTGTAGGGCACAGCTACTGGTGGACGTGAACAGGCTTGGCACCGGCCCTGCTGCCCCTTTCCGGAGCCCACAGATGCGTGTCGGGATAGAGGTCTCAGAAGAGGACCCCCCCCTCCCCGCCCGGGTCCACGGAGCATGCCAAGGCACGTGGGAAAGGCATCTGGGGCTGTGGGCAGTGGGGCAGGGTGGTGCCTGCTCAGCACAGCCTCTCCTTTGTGCTCGAAGATGCCAGTGCCCACGGTCACCTCTGTGGCAGGCACTCACTCAAGCTGAGACCTCCTGGCCTCCACTGCTGCCTCCGCGAGTCGCCCAGGCATCCTGGGCCTGTGGGGCTGTGCTGGGGTGCAGCTCTGGGGACATCTCAGCCCCCAGTCTCCACCAAAACCATCTGGTAGGAGAGTCCATGGCCCCTCCACCCCAAGTCCCTTCCACACCCAGGTGGCATCAAACGCCCAGATGAGGCGGCCTCCAGGTCTGGCCAACCTCTCACCAAGGGGTGGAAGTGCCTGGTACCCAGTGTGAGATCGCTGCCCATGCCTCCCTGCCTCATGTCACCAGCACCAAGGCCATGCTCACTTTCTCTGTGGTGATGTCAGTCTCCGCATCGTGGCGCTTCTGAGTGAAGATGATGTTGAAGACGGCGTGGGAGCGGCTGCTGGTCTCATTCATGTTCGTGGCGGCCACAGTCCTGAGGGAACAGAAGCCACTTGTGGTTACCCGCCCTCCTGTGGTTGGGCATTCGGGTCACCGGTGGTGCCAGTCTCCTGGGCCAGGTCAGGGGGTGTCAGCTCCCCTGGGTTCTCAGGGCTGCCCCGCTGGTGCCCATGCCTCTTGTCAGAGCAACAGGGCCCACACACCCCTGTCTACCATGTCCATCATGGGACCCTCACCCCCCAGCTCCAGCCTGGCACCAGGGGTGCAGTGACTGGGGGTATATCTCTACTTCCAGGCACTCAGCAAAGCCAGGTATTGCTCGCTCTATAAGCTGGGCAGGAGCCCTCACGGCTGTGATGTAGGAAGCCCCAAAGCCACCGACAGGCAGAGACCTCAGGGAAGTGTCCCCCGATAGGGTCCCTGTCTGACAGCCCACAGCACGAGGGGCCTCATCAGAACAGCGCCCCCACAGGACCACAAATGAGGGGTGGCGGTGACCCACAAAGGGAACCCTAACCCTCCAGGAGTCCCTGGGTGATAAAGAGGGGGACTGTTGTCATGACAACCAGGCAGTGAAACCCAGGAAGATGGGCTACTTATGGCCGGCAGTGCCTACAGCTGACACTTCCCCATGAGCTCCTGCCCAGAGCCCTATCCACTGGCCCCATTTACCCTCAGAGCAGGTGGGCCAGACCTCAGGCTCCTGGTCACTGGGCCCAGCAGACCAGCTGCCTGTAGGGATGACCACCAGGGGCAGCAGCCACAGATGGCGCTGGCACCTCCTCCTGGGGGTGGGCAGCCCACCTGTAGGTAACAGTGTCCCCCTGTGCAGGGAGCTACAGGCCCCCAAGGCCCATACCTCCTCAGGGAAGACGACAGGTGCCCCAGGAACCAGCCTTCCTCACAGACTGGACGCTGCGGGCACAGTGGGGGTTAGAGGGCAGAGAGGGTGGGTGAGTCACCCACACACCTGGCCTTGTTCCCTGAGTCCATGAGGTCCTGGATATCATTGTAGGAGGTGACGGCCAGCTTGGAGAGGTCCTCCACGTACGGCCCCAGCAGCGGGTGCTCCCTCACACGCAGGTTGCCCTTGTTCTTGGGGTTCAGGAGGTCGCGGACACGCTCACAGTAGATCTCCATGTAGCTGACCTGCAGGGCAGAGACACTTGTGTGGGGGCCACCATCAGAAACCCCAAAGATAGGTGTGGGGACAGTTATCAGAAATACTCGAGATGGGAGGTGGGGCTGTTGTCAGGGACTTCTGAGGAGGGGGTATTAGGAGATGTGGGGGTCACTACCCAAGACCCCTGAGGAGGGAGTGCAAGGGCCACCGTTAGAGACTCTTGGGGTAGGGAGTGTGGGTACCGCCCACTGGGTAGGGGGAGGTGTGCAAAGGAATCCAAGCTCCTGTGTGAGTGTGTGCATCGGGGGTGTCAGCGGCTCACTGCACACCAGCAGAGCAGAGGACTGCCCCTCGCTCCCCTGCGCCCTGCGCCCTGCACATCTGTGCCATGAGTGGGTGTGGTGGCATGGTTGCCACATGTGCAAGCGAGTGACAAGTGAAGGGCACAAACCAGTGATGGGGTCTCACTACACACCAGAAAAGCATCGCTATCCATTCCTAGAACCCCCGTCATGTCTGGAGGACCAGATGCTGGGCGGGGACCCCTACCTCCACCGAGTAGGACATGTTGTCATTGGTCGTGTCATTGATGCGGGAGAACAGGTCCTCGCAAAGCTGTAGAGACCCAAGACACAGTCAGATGATGAAGGCCCTGCCCTCAGGGTGCTATGGGTTGCCTGCGCCCAGGCTAGCCGTTGTTCTCCTGGCCCCTCTCACACCCTCACAGTTCATCTTGAAGGCACTGAGAAGGCCTGCAGGCAAATGAGCTGCTGTCTTCTGCTTAACTCAGTGGTCCCCTCATTGACATCTGACCTTTTCTCACATATCATCTGCTCACACTGTCCTGCTCCTCCAGCTGTCCTTGTCTCCATGGTGTAGGAGGTCTGCCATGTTATAGACCACCCAGTGTTCTCTGCTGCCCTGACCAGGCCAAGCACTGAGCAGCTCAGACCCAGAAGCCCACCCGAGGGCTGGGCCGGGGTGGGTCACAGCAGTATCTGAGGCATCTGCATTTCAGCCTTCAGTTAACCTGGGCACTTCTCCCTGCCCAGACCACCAGTCCTCACAGCCCCTAGGGGAGGGTCACTTCCACCAGCGGGTCTCCCAGCTGCCCCTGCTGCTCTGTGTGTCCCTGCCATCACTGGGTCCTGCCACCCATCACCTGTGCCCTCCCTGCCCCACATGCCTGCGGGATGATGCCCTGTTGGTCCTTCTCCTGCTTGCCCATCATGGTGTAGGACTTGCCGGCCCCCGTCTGGCCGTAGGCGAAGATGCAGACGTTGTAGCCCTCAAAGGCGTGCTGCAGCATCTCCTCGCCGATGTCCTGGTACACCTGCTTCTGCGACGCATAGTTGATGTCCTCGGGCTGCAGGACAAGAGGGGCCGCAGCTGCAGGAGTCAGGGGCGCTGAGGGCTCAGCCCACTACGTTCCCCGAGGGCCCACATCATGTCCCGGGAACCTCCAGGTCAGGAAGAAATGTACCGTATTTGCCGGCGTATAAGACGACTGGGCGTATAAGACGACCCC